ATGGGGAAGCCAGATTCACTTAACAACCATGCTACTAACTTAACAACTGCAGTGATTCACTTAACAATTGTAGCAAAAAAAGATTGTAAAGTGGGGGCAAGAATCAATGGTTCTCTTAGCAACAGAAATTTTGAGCTCAAATGTGGTCGTATGTTGAGGATTACCTGTAAATAGGTGTCCTAAATATGATATAAGTTGGGTTTAATTTCTTTTATGCTTCAATGTTATGTACTTACAGATGTGACCCAAAGTAATGGCACCCCTCCATGTTTTCTTAAAGAATCCCAATGTGTCATGAAATAAGTTGAACATGTCCCAAGTACATGACCTCCACCATTCTTTGTTCCACAATCCATAGAGCAGGTATTTGCTTTTGATGTATCGCTTAACATATTCTTGTTAAACTTGATTGCTGCTCTTTTATGTATACCATCTTAAACAAATGTTAAGCTGTGTTATGTACTCTGAAAGTACAGCAATAACAGAGGTGTAAAATGCTTCATTTTAAAACTTCAGCATAATAGGGTAGTCTTCAGATTTAGGAATTTAAAAATACATAATCAGTTATTTTAAAATACAAGATAGCTTTGTTTAAATTACTTCAAAAAGATCAAAGGGGCTGAGAACAATATCTAAATTATGTTTTGGAGTGAATTTATCTAAAGATAATTATCATCTGTTCTTTGTAGTTGGCTGTGATTATAACCTCTGGAAAAGTATTTTTTGTGGCTGGGAGTGTTTTTTTTCAAACTTTTCAAACTTACCTTTTGGGTTACTCAGCTACATGCAGATTATTTATTGTTTGCATCAAGTTTGTGTCTATAAATGTATGCAAAGATCTCTATGATGAATGTTAACTTGGTCAAAGATCATTGATTGGCTTGAAAGGATATTGGAAAACTCTTCAGAGAAGAATGTTCTCATAATTACTAAAGCCAGCTCAGGATGAAAAAAAGTAAATTACATCGGCAGGATTTGGCTTTTAAGATGCATGACAGATTATTCAGTTTGCAGAGATGATAATTTTAAAATACAACTCCATTCAGATAAGCAAGAAGGTTACAAAAATTTAGGAAGAATGAAATAGCAATAGCATTTATACACTGCTTCATAGTGCAGCCCTCTCTAAGCCATTTATAGAGTCAGCATATTGCCCATAACAATCTGGGTAAACATTTAGAGAAGAAGCTACAAGGACTAAGTGGCTTCAGTTATAAACCATTCCAAGCTCGAATATGATTTATTTGTTTTGGTGAAGCATGTGTATTATTGAAATGCTAATTATAAAGAAATAAAGTGTGCTAACACAAATATGGTTCATTTGTTTGATTGGTTTGACTTGCTCTGTTGCATGAATCCAGCTGTTACAATTTATAACCCATGTGGTTGACTTTAACATGTTGCATATACTCTACTAAGCAAATTGTGGCTTATTCAACAAATGGTAGCTTAACAAACCAAGTCTAACCAAGATACGTGAACCTAATTGTTGAAATTTCCTTCTGATTAATGGTTAATGATGCACACTTTGTAGTAAAAGCACAGAAGCACTCTCTGGCTTTTCAAACATATTTCACATTAATACTAGTATCCCAAGAACATTTTATATGTTTTAAGGTCCACAAACATTGCAGGTAGTCCTTGCTTTACCAACCATTTGTTCAGTTACCATTCAAAATTACGACGATGCTTAAAAAAGGGTGGCCATTATAGTGATCGTGATTTAAATCAGAGGTGTCAAACTCGCAATGACACATCGTCACATGACGTATTGCAACTTTCCCCCCTTCTCTAAATCAGGAGTGGGTGTGGGCAGTGCGGGACACATCCGACCTGCGGGCCGCAAATTTGACACCCCTGATTTAGTTGCTTGGCAACCAATATGCCTGTAGAATCTTGTGGTCATGTGATCGCCATTTGCAATATTCACAGCTGCTTTCCAACAAGCAAATTCGATGGGGAAGCTAGCAGAAAGTTGCAAGTCACTGTCATGTGATGTGGTAGGATGCTGCTGGTTCGGACCGCTTCTGGCAAACTGGTAGTTCCAATCATCAGCTTCCCCCCACCCCACCCCCACCCTATCCTGTCCTTTATTTCCTTCTTTCTGGCTCACTTGATTCACGCGGCTCAGCTGATTTCCGCGGCTCAGCTGTTCTACTTAACGTGGTTGCCCTAGAACAGGGGTGTCCAACCTTGGCAACTTTAAGACTTGTGGGACTTCAACTCCCAGAATTCCTCAGCCAGCTGGCTGAGGAATTCTGGGAGTTGAAGTCCACAAGTCTTAAAGTTGCCAAGGTTGGACACCCCTGCCCTAGAAGGTAAGCATTTGAGGTTCAAACTGCTGTGAATGCTGTGCGTGCACGAACCACACAAGCGCACGTGAAGCGTGCGCTTACAGAGCCAATTGTTAAACCGGTTGCAGCCCGCTACTGGTCACATGATATCACACTTAACGACTGTGCTACTTAATAATAGAATTGCCGGCCTCTTGTTGTGTATGGTAAGTGAAGACTACCCGTGATCAGATTGAAAGACTTCATTGCCAGCCCAGGAATGTAAACCAAGATATTGTAGGACTACAGTAGTTTGTCACAGTCAGAAAGTTTATTTCAGCTTCAAAGAATGCTCATCTTCCACTTCTGTTCCAAAAATTACTTTCTAAGCCAACATCATGAAAACCCCTTTGATCATGAAAATGCTTCCAAAACACTGACTTTGCTTAACTACTTCACTAAAATGCAGACAAACTTTATAGGAGCTTCATCAAAAAGAAACATTACAACTTAACCCTTTGCATGCTTCTGCCCTCTGGCTACAGCTGCAGAAAAAAAATGCTTGAGAAAATACTATTTCTTTTTTATACTTTGGGGCTAGATCTACTTGCTAAATTCTGCTAAATTTCGATTAATGCATGTTTATTATTAACCGTGGAATTTGTTTTTGAGTGTTGCCAAAAGATATCATGGAAGGGGAAAACATTATTTTGGTGGAGAGAAGAATTATTATGATTTTTAATGCGATTCTGTATATTAATTTAAGGTAGCTTATTTTAAGAATCGGATTTTCACTTCTGATCATATTATGTTCCAGAATATAAAACTTTTCCATTACAAAAAAAAGAAGTACAATAGGGGGGGGGGGGGGGTTGTTATTTTCATTCTTTAAGTTTTAGGTTATGAACCTGAAATATTATATGCTGAACTAATACAGAATTGCATTATTGTGTTTGCACAGAAAAGAATGAGATTCTGTTATTCTTTTTTCCTCCTCTCTAATAATATTTTGAAAGAGTCTGATGTACTTTAGCAAAATTTCAAAGGGAATATGTGTTGCATTTTTAAGGAAACAGTATCCATTGTGGCAAGATTTGTTCTAGTTAGGAATTTTGCTTTTCTTTCTTACTTTCATGATACACTAGTAAACAACAGGAGCAAGCAAAGTCTCTTCACACATGAGAGGGAGGGAAAACAGCCAACTGCCTTTTCTTCATTGCTGGTTCACATAACATTGGACTATGGTCGGCTATTCTGCCTAAACAAGGTCTACACCAGAGCTTATTCTTTTTTCTCCTAAAACTTGAATTGCATTATTTTTAAAAGCTGAAATTAAAATTAAACTGAAATGCTACAGAGCTGTGGTGGCACAGTGGTTAGAATGCAATATTGCAGGCTAATTCTGCCGACTGCCAGCAGTTCAATTGTCACGGCTCAAGGTTGACTCAGCCTTCCATCCTTCTGAGGTAGGTAAAATGAGGACCCAGATTGTTGGGAGCAATATACTGACTTGGCAAACTACTTAGAAAGGACTGTAAAACACTATGGAGTGTGGTATATAAGTCTATTTTTACTGTGTTTCTTCTCTAGCATTCCAGTTTAATTTCAATTTTAGGACATCATGGCTTGAAAGGCTAAAATCACGTAATACTGTAACTGCAGCAAATTAGTCATTGCAGCCTTTTAAACTACTTTGTGTTGCATGACCCCTTGTTCTTAGATTGCCTTATTATCATTCCTGCTAACATTATTTTGATTTTTATCCCACTTTAGGAGCTCAAGGTGAATTTTCATGGGCATTTTAGCATCAATTGATACTGCACCTTTCCATTTCCAGACAACCATCTTAACGGTTGGCTTTTTAATTATGGCTAACTTATGAATTGTAGAATAAGCCATAAATAGCCTAATTCAGGAAAAATACTAAAGCATAAATCATAGTTTACAAGCAACAATGGTTAAGTACACATACAGTATCACACAAGCCAATGCCAAAAGACAAAACAAAAAATCCCAATCCATAAACTGTTTAATCCAATGTATTAAAAATGCAATTATTTTAATTATCAGTTGTCCCACAATTGATAAAATATTCTACTAAAATTACTAAATGAATAGCTGTGTTAATCTTATACAGCAGAAACTGTCAAGAGTTTTATGGCATCTTAATGACTGATTAGTTTGTTGTCTTAAGCTTTTGTGTACTTAAAGTCTCTAAGATGCCCAAAGGTTCCTTATTATTTTCCTTAAATTTGTAAGTGATGTCAATTGAGCCAAAAATTGATGTTTATGGTTAGATAGAAAAGGATACTGTTTCTTTAAAAGAAAAATTATTCTGAACATTTCAATTGCATTTGTACTGGGATGTTAGAATATACTGTTTTATCACAATGTATTGCACAGTGAGATTAGGCAGACTGTTTCACTACCTTTGGAGTTTAATAGGTCGAAAAGGAACCTCATGGCACAATTTCTTTTTGTTTACTTTTATACAGAATCTATGTCATTGCAAACCCTCCTAGTAAGTTAATGACATATAAGGTATTCTCTTTTTACATGGGTCCCAGTTTGTTTATTTTTGTGTGTTAGAAAAAAATATTGAATGCTCAGTGTGTGTGTAAGTCTGCAGGAATGTAGCAAGTTGATAAAATCCCATCCAAGTTCACCCTCCTTTCAGGAATTTTTAAAAACAGCTTGAATTGCTTTTTATGGAAATTTGTTTTGCAGCTTTCTACATCTTAAGGCAGAGAATAGCCAGGATAAGGTGCCAACCCAAAGGTTAGCTGAACATATTTCTTAAAATAATTTTGGCACAACGGTATTTTGGAGCTGTAACTGATAATTTGGGGAAATAACATTTTATGTAAACTCAGAAGAAATATGTATTTGTTTTATTTATTATTTTAAGGCAATGAAACAGTTTTTTTAAAGCATTCCCATACAGTGGATGATTTCCTAACTAATATAAATCAATTGTGGCATCATTTTCAGTTTTATAGATAAGATATCAGGAAAGTGTGTTTTACATTGTTTATCAATTAACAATTTTGAACAATGATCTACTGTAACATAGTCATTTATTTCAATGTTACTGTATGCAAATGCCTATATGAATCTCTGTCAGAAATAATAACCAAGCTAGCAATGTTGTATATGCTTACCTGGAAATACCGTAAAACTTCCGTATGAACAAATCTTGTTAGGATTACACTGCAGTCCCATGTATGTTTCCTTAGAAATATTGTATCTGGCTGGTCCCGTCTAGGTGTCCAAAATCCACAGAAGAACATAGCATATGTGGTGTCCTGCTGATGGTACCATTGGTCCAACTAGTAGAACAGACTCTTCCAAAGAGTCTGTCTGCAGTTGGCCTTCAGTGGCAGTTTCACTGCCATCAAGCTAATAGCTATTGATCCTCATAACATCTGCAACTGCCCAGCAACATACAACAGCTATGCTCAACCAGCAGCTTTCCAGATCTGTTAGGATTGAACTTCTAGGAGTTGCAGTCTCAATACATCTAGAAAGAGCCACAGTGAGAAAACCCAGTGCACATAAAATTAATCTAGCTGCACTGTGCCTTGATTTATGTCGTACAGGTATATAACTCAAGACAAGACCCTCTGCTATGGAATCTAAAATATATTTAGTATATTTTACTAAATATAGAATTCAGAATATTTCTAATTACAATAGCTCTTTAAGAGTTCCTAAGCAAATGCCTATTTTGGCATTTACCTCATTAAAGATTTACTTCTCAACAAGTTTGTTTCAGATTAAGGTGTCCAACAGATTTGATGTCTGGGTTATATTCCTCTGAAATATTCTTTATACTATTCTTTTTAATACATCCAAGTGAATCTTGGAATTTGGCTTACAAGCATACAACTTGCTTTTCTATGTACAGAATAGTATAGAATAGGGTTGCTACCACCAAGGATGCCATTTGAACTGAATGTAGGAGAAAAATACCCAGTATTTTCCAGGACAAGAGACTGCCTATGGGTGGAATCCGTCCCTACACTTTTACCTATATAGGATGCTGCTATAATAATCATTCTTTAAAAATTACATTGACTTTTCATAAAGAAGATTGAGATGAAGATTCTCTACACGGATAATGTTGTTCCTTTATGGGCTATGTTGATAATTTTGAGATTTCTCCCAATCTTCTAGTTGTTGCAGAAGATAGGAACTCTAGAATGGACTTTAGCCCAGGGCTTCTCTGGGCTAAAGTCCATGCCCATATATTTCAAGAGAAAATTAGGTTTTAAGTTATCTGGATATTACCAATTCTCAGGCCAAAATTATGGGTGGCTTTGTTTCCAAAACAGTGTCAACCACCCTTGTGGCAACTTGTTTGCTTCCCATAGTATTTGAGAATCTGCTTCAAACATTACTGTCTGAATAATTCCACTGAACTTTCTGGAGACATTTCAACATTAGGTACTACACTAAGGAATGTTCATCATATATTATCTTGATTTACAATATAGATGTACTATTACATGAAAAATCCAAGTAGCTTAACTTCTGGGCATTAGAGATATTTTTGTCCATGAATGCAATGAAAATAACACTTTCAAAATGTAAAGCACTGCATTATTTGCAGTGACTGGTTCATACACAGTTCTAATCTAAAGTGGCAGTGATTTAACCAGTTGAAAATCTCTCTGGAATTCTAATGCCTGCTATATTTAAAATAGGCAGAATATTATTTTCCCTGCATTTGTTACTGTCATTCTAAGACGATAGAAGAAAAGATTGCATATTGAACTGCTCAAAGATTAAAAACCACCTGCCTACAGTAAAGATTTCTGAAAGCTTATTAACAAACTGTGAACATGCACTTCTAGCCGTTGTAATTTTGGGATAATAAACATATCTGGAATAAAGAATATCCTTTATAAAGTCATACATTCCATTTAAAATTTGATCAATAAAACAAATTATTAATGATTATATTAGTATTTCTTGTCAGCAAGCAAAGATTATCAGATAGCTCCATAATTAGAAAGAACATTTAGTTTCCAGAGGTCAGACCTTGCTTTAAGTTGCTCCCACAGTACAGTAGTCCTTTAATCTGGAGATACGATTCTTCATACAGTCATATTTACAGAGTATTTAAATAAAGTCATTGTCAATCCACAACATTCTATTTTTTTCTTTTGTTTGTATCATTCATATATATACACACACACACACACACACACACACA